TTACTCAGAAAACATCTTTTTCTGGTCAAGCAAGAAGGAAAATATAAAGACTGCTACATAAAAGGAAACAAACTCTATGTTGACGGGGCCACTTATGATATTGAAGATCTGGAAAAGGAAGACAACGAAGACATCAAACTTCTATCTACTTCTACATTTGACACCACAAAAAAAAATTTCCTGAATATAAAGAAGATCCAAGAACACCAAAGACCACGACAACTAAAAAACTAGTCCAAAAAATAATACAAGATAAACCCAGAACGCGCTCAGGTAACAAATAACAGGACAGCACTTGCGATTAAGTTCTCACTTGTTGTTACTTTCACCTTTACTAATATTGTACTTGGATAAATGAATGTTGAATAATTTATAAGTGTATGTGAATGTGTATATATTATTAGGTAGAGGTTATTCAGTAGGCTATCTCATAAAAAAGTAGGCTACACATATTTCCAATTCCTATCTTTGCATAACTCTTTCTATCCATAACTTGTTCAGAAATATGGAAGAACTTATGAGATATTGTAATCATGAACCAGTAAACACTCTTGAAATTGATGATATTATAGAACTCAGCAATATTATAACTGACATAGACTATAACAGAATCCTTAAAATATTCCATCAGAATATAAGGAGTATTAGAAAAAATATAGATGAACTCAAAGTATTTTCGAGTCAAGTAAATAACGATTTAGACGTGATTATTTTATCGGAAACAATATTTCTGAGTGTGAAGATCTATACAATCTAGATGGTTATCAGATGATCTATAGTGGAGGAAAACTCAACAAAAATGATGGAGTTATCATATACGTGAAAGATGATAATAAATATAATCATGTTGGAAAAGCTCAAAATATATGTTATAGCGCCANAGATATGAGACTAGTTGGTCGGAATGCTTTTGGTAAGGTGTAGTCCATTCTGTTTGGTTTGAAACATTTATTTTAATTTGTACAGAAATACGCAACTAGATAAAATTGAACAGACAATGAAATCATAACTGATGGATTCATTTTATTAAACTCGTATTATTGCATTCATTTTGACTTATTCACGGCCCTCTTTATAATATGCAATAAAATTGCCTTTTTCATCAGTATTCAAGGAAAACTACAAGTGTGCTCTATTGCTGAATTCAGAATTTAATGCAGAATCCAAAAACGAATCGAAAATCTAGGTTACCATTGAAAAAAATTGGCGTCGGTGTCGCGACGCCCTAATGGATAACACATATTGCTGGATGTCTTCGCAAATAAGAGGACCCTTTGACATCAAAATTATCTGCCTTCACGAAATATGGATATTCTCTCTCATTTTTCAGATATTTGTCCGCGGAGTATTATATGGGACACTCTGTATATGCACAAGGAAATGTTAGTGTTTTAAGCTCAGCAAAACAATGTCTGCAGCACTGGCGATATTTGAGATTCATAATAATACAGATGTATCTCCTTTGTAGCCTAGAAATTTTTCCCAATGGGAAGAGTGACCCCAACTCAGCACAGCATATGTCATGTTTGAATGAAAATAACCATAGTAAGCTGACATAATAGTTTCTTTTAGATACAGTTTTAACAAGTGATTTTATCATATATGTAATTTTCGAGAGCTTAGATGATATTTGAGTTATGTTTCTTTCTCATGTTATACCTTCATCAATAATTATTCCATCACTTCTTGGCAAAGCTGGATGCAGAAGTCTGGGAAAAAATTTGATATTTTGGGTGTTGGTTTGGTTGAGAGAAAGTTTTTTTTGCTAAAAACCATTTCTGTCCCTCGACCACAATTTCTTGAATTGCTGATGGGTGATATACTTGCAAATGAGTTTTGTCATCAGCAAATAGTGTAAGTTTTGAGCCAGCTACATTAACTTTCAAGTCATTTATCTAGATCAAGAAGAGTAGAGGCCTCAAAATTGAGCCATGTGGAATTCCATGATGCAACTGCATACCATCTGAAGAGACACCATCATATATAACATACTGAGAGCAATCTATTAGGTATGACCTGAGAAAGGCTATACAATCAGAATGAAAGTTGTAAAACTTAAGTTTTTCAGTAATACGTCAGTTGAGACACAATTATAAGTTTATCGTACTAATCAAATGATATCTTTACCGTAGGAAACATACTGATAATCGTTGAAAATATTCAAAAAATGCTTGATGGGTATAAGCATGTTGAATGCTAGATGAGTTGTGTTGATGACGCCTGTATTGTTGGGTAAAGTCCAACCGGAGGTGGACTATCGTACAAAGTATCGTAGGCATCAGATTGATTGATGTTGATTTCAATAACATCGTTGTTGCGAGAAGACTTGACATGAGGAGAGTAGGTATGCCACTCTACCTTTTGTATGGACTCATCGATTTGCGGTTTTCGGAAAATGTTGAACACTTGATTGGACAACATGATAACCAAGAAACTCCAGAAACAATTTATTTTCCATTGTCAATAGTTGTCGACTAGTGAAAATCTTGGTGAAGACCGACTTGGGGTATGGAGGTGAATTATTTTTTTAGATAGCACCATACTTTCGGTTCAATTCCAAACGAATTATTATTTCTTCGTTTCAGAAATTAATGAGTCTAGAATGTTGGTCAATCACTCGCAGCGTAATATTGTTTATTTCGTCTCTATGTGCAATAGGTAGGTGAATGGGGTGATTAGGTATTTCGTCAATTATGTACCCAGGATCAACAGCAACATCAAATTTGTATATCGTATAAGTCGGTGTGTCGTTGTAGAAGGCTCCAAACGTAATGTTGCTATCTATGTGTATAGTGGAGTCAACATCTGTTCCTCATACAGTGTACATGTGCTATTTTACCTCGTCAATTTCTGACGAAGTGTTACTATAAAATCAAGTGAGTTGATTATAAAATACATTCAAATTGTGAAGTGTCAGTGTACCCAACATGGACAACGAACCACCACCCAATGGAGGGGGTCCAAACAGCGAAGGTCATTCATCGATTCAGCAATCGAAGTTTCCAAATTCAACCGGTCAACAATTGGAACTAAACACTGAATCTGATAGTACACATGAAAACACACAACAAAAAAGTAAGGTATTCAATTTACAAAAACACAACGTCTATTCAGACATGGCATATGTTTTCACTGAGAAGGTCAATGACCAAAATATTGGTAAATTACATCCCATGGCCGTAGGTCATATACTCCATCAAAAACTAAGATTACAAAACAACAAAAAAATTGATAGAGTAGGCAAAAATAGAATAAGAGTGCAAATGAACAGCATCAGGGATGCTAATAAATTTCAATATTGTAACATTTTTAGTGCTTGTGAAAAAAATTGTTATACAAATTTTATGTATCCCCTTAAGGGGCTGTATCTTAACAAGGGATGCTCCAATGAAATTTCTTTATATGAAAGATCCTATCTTTTTCTCGATGAGGAATCACCTCTTCAAATGTTTTACACTTATTTAGTTACATCCTGTATTTTGAACAATCTTACTGATTTTCAGCTTGGTGGGAATTTAGGTAGCTTTACTCTTATTTTTTGGTCTAATTCGACCGGACTAATACTTCAATAGCAGATGTATCTCATCATATTTGCACCAAACTGTTCAGTATGTACAAAAATATTTTAAATTGAATTCCATGTCAGATGCCAAATTCATGTTTCTTGGAACCGGCTTGTCTGATTGTACTGACATGTATAATTTTTATAAATTTTACATCTTTTTTGGCACGGTCAACCTCAACAAGAATAAGTTTTAATTTTGTCTTGTAAATCTCAACATTTTATTACATCAGTAGTCCGATAATATGAAGTCCGGGTTGAACCACGTTTGGTGTTTTTAGTAGTTCGACTTTTTGCTTTCGAGTTTGGAGCCATTTTCAAGAAACTGTCACTACACTGAGGTCTTAATCTGTCTACTACTCAGGTAGTTACATGCTGTTAGGGTTTTGTGACTTGACGCCAAGGTATCAATATACCTACTCCAAAGCGTCGACTGGTCTGGTATTTATGTACCCGGACGAGTTCAGGGGGACCGGTACTGGGAGCGATGGTGGAGTTGGTAGTGAGAACGGGGTTGTTACTTGCAGAAGCGTGGTGTGCAATGTTGTGAGATGTATAGCGTGACAATAATGATTTCCATTATTGAGGTAATAATTGTGAATTATCTCGTTTGTTGGCCTGAATTTCAGCTGCAGTGCAAGAAGAAGTATAGCTTCTTCTAGTTCAGGTGTTGTTAAAGTTTCTGGTCTTCCATCACCTGCATTTTTATTGAAACTTCCAGTTTTACATAATCTTGCATGTTGCGTTGTAAATGTTTTAGCATATGGAATTATTCTGTTAAGATATCTGTCCCAGTAAATTCTACGTGCTTCATCCAGCATTTCCGCATTTCAGCGTTGTTAAAATTTTTCATGACGGAAACACTGCTAATTGACACCTCTGACTTTCACTGATATGACAACACTGTCACTATCAGCTGGTCTCCAAAGCAGGTGTTCCTGATATGCAAAGTGGCTTCAATTTTTTTTCTCAAAAAACGAAGCTAGATATGAAGAAAACACAAGCGACAAAAAAGTTGTATTTTCAGTAGAATAATCTAAAAAATAAAAAGCTACAAGTCGACAGCGTACTTTCCAATATTGTTGACTGTGGTGACCACTGAGACTCCACTAGACCTAATCATTTCAATCTAGTTAGGGCTAAATAAGTACCTTATCACTTCAAATAACTGTAGCAAATTTGTAACAAATCCATGTCAAGATATTCATATCTTATAAATACGAATATTTTTTTAATTTTAATGCCCTCTATCTCAGAAATGACGCAACTCCGGATATATGTTCATAGGAATGTTTTTCTTATTTAAACGACCTAACGAGTCACCCTTTGGAGTTCCGTACCATAGTTAGGAAACACCCTGTATATATGAAACTTTTTTGTATTTAAAATGAAAATTCTGGTACCTCTAAGAAACCTGATACAAATAAAACTAGTTTCGTTCAATAATAAACCATATTTACTATTTACATTTCTGCTTCATTAATACTAAAGTTTACAAAATGTCTTTTTGAGTACCCATCACGAAGGATCAACTTTCAGTATAAAATAATAGATCTATTGAGTTTTAAGATTAAGTACGAAGAAGTATGAGCATTTCAATATTTTGATCTAGATTCTGATTCGGGACATGACTACTGACTAAAGTATTATATTATAGAACAACGTGTGTCACAATACACGACAGAATCTATGCCTGCTTCGTTTTTTGATTTCCAGAGGAACCGACGTGCTCACAGTGTGTAAGGTTTGGACTGTTACTTCTACATCTTTCGTTTCTTCGGGATCTGAAAAAATAAAAAAATAATTTTTTCGAACAAGAACATTCTTACATATCATAATAGCAACTTTAAAACAAGATCTTTTCGTGAGGTTCATTTATCAGTCTATTTATAATTAGGTAGATATTCTGAAATATCATTATTATCATTGCTTGAATGGCGAAAGACCATATTCAATTCCTGAAAGGTAAACAGGGAAATAATTTTCTGGTACATCTGGGTAGTCTTTGAAAATACACGTATACGAAAACAACTAATAACGTAATTTTCTAAAAGAAATGACAGGTTAAATGTCAATTTCAGAAGGAAAGTCTATTCTATTGACTGAAGAAATAATGAGTGATGATAATAATAGTTCCTCATTTCTAGAAATATCTTACATGTATGAAATCCGTAAAACATAGTGTATAAAAGTATGGTACGACACACAAATAATTTGTATGACAATTGATTTCTACAATGATTCATTTCTATAACAAATGGCTTCAGATGAACTTCCAAATGAAAGCCCTTTTCATTTTATTGAGTAATAATCATTCAAGTTAAAGTACTCATAGTTGACCTGAAAACATTTCACCTCTGTTTTAGATTAAAAAAAAGTATTGATTTCTTAGAAATGAATGGGTAGCCTATTGGAAACGTGTACACATAAAACATTTGGTGAATTCCTGGTTATATTCACTCTATGGAGAGACTTACAGCCAGTTTCGAGTTCGAATAGCAAAATCGTGCATTTTCCTACTGGATTTAATTTGATCTTTATTTAAGGTGAATATACACGTAAAGTTCATACATGAAAATATTAGGTACGGTCAATATGCTAAGTTTTCTGAATTGCGATCTACATGTCTCGGGGAGACCCGAAACCGGTCGTATAAATGAAATCTACCGGTGGTATTTAGACAAAAGTGTTTTATTCATTTCATTCAAGTGATCATGAATTATCATAAAGTAAACAAGTCATCAATCACACATCCTAGAAATTTTGTTAAAGATGATCGTGACATGACACCATCTTCTATTTCTAAAGTGAGATGAAGATTTCCTCTGTTCTGAGCAGAATGAAATCTCAGCTAGGTAGGTTTGGATTTTTATCCAAATAAGGGAAATTTTGATTGAATCGAGCATTCAGTAAGTTTAGTCCTGTGTTACACGAGACCTCGAGACTTTCGCTTCTACCGCCCGGAAAAATAAATGATGAGTCGTTGGCAAATAATGAGATTTACTGATCTTTATCGATTATGTTAACAATATAGTTGATGTAACATATAATCTGGCCGGGGTCAGATCCTTGTGGTAACTCACCTCCAATTTAGAGTATGTCTGAACTATATGACTGCTTACTCGAGATAACTATATGATAAAGGTTTTCGACGAACGCCATATGATTTCATCTTATATATTAGACGTTTGTGGACCAGAAAGCCACATAGATTCATAAATATGAAACAACTCTCCATTAGATCACGGCTACCTGGCCAGAAAACCAAATTTCCTATCTGATTTTCAGACGTGAAAACTTGAAACTTAAATTAGCGGATTTTTTTTATAAAATGTATATTTCGAGTTGAAAAAAGAATTATTCACATACAAGCACCGCAAAAAACCGTCAATTCATTATTGTCTGAAATTCTGTTGAATGATTAGTATTGTAACGAATCTGAAGCCGGCCCTGACAAATATCTGGAGTGACCGTTGCCGATATAAAAGTCGGCTTCCCCTCCCGAGATGGCAGTCTGTATTCAGAAAGCGAATCGTGCGTTCAAATAAATAATTCGAACAGTGAAGATAAATTAAGCGTTAGTTGCTAAGGGTTGTATATAAATTGGTTGTGATAGTGAAATATTATTAAAATAAATTTATTGAATGATTAGTATTGTAACGAATCTGAAGCCGGCCCTGACAAATATCTGGAGTGACCGTTGCCGATATAAAAGCCGGCTTCCCCTCCCGAGATGGCAGTCTGTATTCAGAATGCGAATCGTGCGTTCAAATAAAGAATTCGAACAGTGAAGATAAATTAAGCGTTAGTTGCTAAGGGTTGTATATAAATTGGTTGTGATAGTGAAATATTATTAAAATAAATTTGTTTAAACAGTTGATTCTGATTGACTATAAAACTTTCACGCAGAGGGACTGGTGATTCATTTTGTTTCACGAAGTAGACAGTAGCGGACTACGGAAACCTAAACTGATAGACCTTTCTCGCGAAAAATAGACTTGTGAAAATAAATAAGTGTTTTGGACTCGATTAAAATAAGTGAACATTTTCAGTTTTGTGAAAAATAGACAATAAGAAACAAAATATAATCAAGGAAAGTGAGCCTAGTGGACTTGGAAGTTGCCGACTTGAAGCAAGAATTGGAGGAGAGAGAGCTAGATTGTTCTGGAAAGAAATCAGTACGCCAGAAGAGACTGTGGGATAACTTGACGGAATCAGGAGAAGACTCCGAAATATATTTATTCTAAGTTTCTGGTGGGTGATTTGAGTTCAATAATGAGCAAACTCGATGAGAATACCAAATCGCTGAAAGATGAACTTTAACAAAATTCGAAGAGTTTAAAAGATGAACATCAACAAAATTCGACGTGCCTGGAGAATAAGCTTCTGGAAAATTCGACAATTTCGGAACATACATTTCTAGAGAATTCGAATAGTTTGAAGGAAGAACTTCTAAAAAATGCAGAAGGCCTGAAGAAAGAGCTTTGTAGTGTGGCGAGCCTACTCGAAGAGATAGAGATAGATAAAATCAGGAAGGGAATGAATACAGAAGTAGAAGAAATCAAAGGCGGAGTTCAGGCAGAAATCAGCGAGATGGAGGAAACAATTAGCAAGTTGCAAAACCAAATCGTCAATTCTGCCCACCCCACAGAAACGGTTACCGAAAACTCAATTTCGTAACTGAAAGAGGTCAAAGTCAGTTCTGAACTAAGAAAGCTCTCCATGAAACCGCCCCTGTTCGACGGAAAAACTCCTTGGCCAAATTACCACCGAAAATTTGAAGCTGCGGCCAGAGCGAATGGATGGAATGCAGGAGAAAAGGCGGTAGCATCAACATTGGCGTTGTGTGGAGAAGCAACGAATATTCTGTAAATCCTCACGGCCCCAGAACAGGAAGACTATGGCCAACTCATAAAGCATCTTGAGCTTAGGTATGCACAGGCACACCTAGAACACGTTTACCATTCACAGCTGAAGAACCGCTGCCAGAAATTAGGAGAATCCCTACAGGAGTTTGAAGCCGACATAGCTCGATTAGTCCGTCTGGCATATCCTACTACACCCGAAAATGTAATAGAGCGGTTAGCAGTTCAGGCATTCTTGGATGGACTTCGCGACCAAGAAACGAGACAGGCCTTGACGCTAGCTCATCCCAAACATCTCGAAGATGCACTGGCAAGCGCTCTGGAGTTTGAGGCTGCAAAACAATCTTACAAGAGCCAGAGCAAAGTTCGAGCTATCGAGGAAGATGGACAAGTGCCTGCTGATATTGAGGCCACCATCAGAAAAGTAATGAAAGAAGTGTTGCCTGAGAGGAAACAAATAAAATGCTGGAACTGTGGGAAAATTGGACATGTGTGTAACAAATGTCCAGTTTTCAAAGAATCGACACCAAATTAGGAAAACTAGAGGGGGTCGATGAGAAGGGGCAATCGTCGGCCCAGCAAGCCCCCGTAAAAAACACATATGTTGCCGTTCTCCAACGACAAGACAAAGGTGTTTTCGTAGATGGCCTTATCAACAATGAGCCTTGCACCATGCTGCTAGATACAAGTGTGACGAGAACCATTCTTGGGCCAACCTTTGCCAAAACACCGACAAAAATTGACCCGTCAAGCTGAAAGCTACGCACCGCAACAAGGGAGCCAGCCACTGTACTTGGAGAACTACCAATTGAATTGGTGATGGGCAGCACTGAATTGAAACATCGTGCATTGGTGGCGGACATCGAGGACGATGCGATCATTGGAATAGACATAATGAATTCCAGAGGGTTTGAGCTGAATTCTCAAGACGGCGTCCTACGTGTCGGCGGAGAGGAGCTGGTGCTTCATGGAAAAAGCGAAGAGATTATCAGGGTCCTGTTGGCTGAAGACGTGTGCGTACCTGAAAGGGCTGAAACCATCTGGAGGCTTGCTTGGACGGAAGTGCGAGCAGCGATAAGGTGGTAATGTTCGAGCCCAAGATACACGATGAGAAAATTTGACGAGGAATCGCACTGGGGAAAACCCTGTTGCGTGTTGATCATGAAATTCAACTACTTTCCCGTGACCTTGAAGAAAGGAACAATGCTGGGGCACTGTTCGTCCATTTCCTCTGTGATACGGAGTGTACGTAGTTCGGTTAGCCAAGTCAACAACTTGCCTAAAGAGTTGAAGAAGTTGATTGACATTTCCTCCAAGAACATACCACTAACTGACCGATAAAAATTGAGGAAGTTAGTCAAGAAGTACCAGGAAATCTTCGATATTGGAGAAGGAAAAGGCGGCAGAATGAAAGTGGTTCAGCATAGAATCAACATTGGGAATGCCCGACCAATCCGGCAATCAGCTAGAAGACTCCCCCTTGCGAAGAAAGGAGAGGCAGACAAGATAGTCAGCGATATGGAAAAAGAAGGAGTCATCGAACCTTCTGACAGCCCCTGGTCTTCCCCAGTCGTATTAGTGAAGAAGGGTGGTTCGACAAGGTTTTGCGTGGATTATCGCCAACTAAACTACGTGACGAAGAAAGACAGCTACCCTCTTCCAAGAATCGACGACACCCTATACACGCTAGCCGGCTCCCGATTTTCTCGACTTTGGATTTGAAGAGTAGATATTGGCAAGTTGAATTGGCCCCAGAAGATCGAGTTATGCCATTCGGGCTTTGTAATGCTCCAGCGATCTTCGAGAGATTGATGGAGACGGTTCTCATGGGGCTCTCTTGGAAGACGTGTCTAGTGTATCTCGACGATATAATCGTGGTCGGAAAATCGTTCGAGGATCACTTGAAAAATCTGAAGGAG